GCGCATGTGGAAGACCACCATCACCCGGTTGGAAGGCCAGCCTCTTCTACACACGGTGCATTGGAACCTTGGAAATGACAACAAACTTTTAACAACCTTTTAACAAAATGAAAACCTAAGTTACACTGTAAGTTTGAACTATAGAAACACTTCTTGGAAGAAGCATGCTCTGGAAGAAATCATAAAATTATGTTTAAAAGTCAGTGAAAAAGGGAAATGGGGGGAGAAAGAGCCATTTGATTTCACCTCCTTCCTGTTCGATTATTAGTGAAGGGTGGATGAAGACTTTTAAAGGTTTTTGGCTTTCTTTCTGTTTGTGTTGAAAAAATATTAGAGGCTTCAGGGCTTCAAACTCTGCAGCACAGTGACATCTGGTGGTTTGGAAAACTTAGAGCAGCCCTTAAGGACTGGGGTTGAAGCATCACAACACCTCCGTGATTGTTCTCATATGTGTGCAATAACAGTCCAAGAAGGCTGTGTGTTTTATTAAATCTGTAGTACTTGTGCTGCGTTAATTGCAGATTAGGTTAAACTCTGAAACAATGTAATAAAACGGTGAGCCTCACAGCAACGAATCAAGCTTCAGAGCTTCCTTATTATCCACCCATCACTACTGATTACATAATAAAACCAGAGGTCTTTCTCTGTCATTCAAGTGTTCCCAATCTAAATCTATGGTCCTTTGACTCCATCAGCTGACAGTAAAACCTACCTATGAGCTTATTATTCTTTCAATATATCTTAAAGTCTAAAATAACCCTACTTTTGTCACACTAGACATGGCATTAACTTACATTCATTCTCTTAACCCCATGTCTAACTACTACTACTACTACTACTATATCCACTAACATATACAATACTGTATATACACACCAACTACAGTAAATAACAGTAGTTCTGCACACTGACCTTGCACCTGTGTTCCTGATGTACTGCTCCCAGCCTGGGTTTGGGGAGTCAGGCACAAGACTGTCATCAAACTCCAGATGCCAGGAGTCTCCTTGTTTAAGACTCTCTGTTTTCATCTGGAAGATACTTGTCCACTCCATCCTGCAAGTGTCAGTGGTGTTGGTGGCTGAAGAAGATACAAAACTCTGTCAGCTGATCTGTACAGTATATAAACAACTTGAAACAATGACTCATCACTCCTAGGCTGACAGACTTTGGGCGTCACCCTACCCATAGAGTTTGAGGAAAATGAAACCTAAAAGTGGTTTTCTTAAGTTTCAGGTCTAGTTTTGTGCTATGAATGGGTCATTCATAGTACAAAACTTTAAGAAGTTTATTTTGCTAGGGAACATGTTAAGCATGTATAAATACTAGTCATTAAACTAATTAATAAAGTAAATGTTATTCACCTTATAGCCTATTTATACACAGAAATTAAGAGAAGAGAGGCCCATGTAATGAAAATGTAACTGCTTTGTGTATGTTGGGTTGTTTCACTCACTAACATACCACACACATAGGAAATAAGATTGCTGCATTTGTGTTTCACAAGACTGCAGGAGAAATGAAACTGAAACATTTTCTTGTTGTATTCATGAAACACTGGGGAATCAGACTCTTCTCTGTATTATTTCAAATAGATGGAACATCTGGCAAATAAGATATAATGCAGAAGATGACGGATTTTACTTTACAGAAACTGATCTACTGTAATCATCATTTAAACAGTAGCTGTTAAAAACATCTGCCTCCTCCTGAGCATGATATCACTTAACTTTCACTTTCACATGTCCACATTTAACTTTCATTTTATCTGAAAACAAAACAAAAATGATTTGAAACAAGAGACACAAAGTGTTTATAAGGCTTGGTTGTGCAATGAATCATTGATAGGGTTATATAATGCCAATATCATGGCCGCCCTGCCTGTTCGCACATCACCCTGAGTCACATTCAGCTATCAGCTTAAGGGTGCGTAACATTAAATAATAATCTCATAAACTCATCACCCAGGAGAATTATGCATGTAGAGCCTTGCTGTCAGCAGCTCATTGTGAAGAAGCAATAAAAGAAACATTAAGGTCTAATGGCTCATATAACATTAGAACAGAGAGAAATTAAATTACTGTTATTTGTAATTTGTACCTCACCAAAGTCCTGTAGATAATGATGAATACTAAATGACATGAATCACACCATGTTCAGCAGTTAGCCTCAATATAACACATGTAGGCTTTCCCATCCCATCCTGCAGGCCTGTGGTCCTCTAAATGATGAGCAATTAAACTGAGCACACAGTGTTTACCCCTCTGGCTTTTTGACACGAGCACAATTGATCTCGAATTCAAAATGAGGGACTTTAATTATTCTAATATGTCTTCATACAGATTTAAAACAGAATCACTGGATTTGTGTTGTTAGCTGGTGTAGATCAACACACATTTACCTACAGTATGTTGGATGGTGCAGCTATGTGATACTTGATAAAATATTTGTAGACTGAATAAACAAGCCTTTGATAATAATATGTTTAATGTGTGGAAAATGCCTTGCCTTTTAATTATGTGTGATTTAAATCCAGCCTTCCTATCTTGAATAAAGCAGGCAAAGATGGAAGATTTGCATGGTGAGAATGTGCCAGGACAGTGCTATCCCTGCTGCTATCAAAGCTAGATATTGATATTTAAAGCCAGAAACAGTCTAAATTTGGTCCGAACATCTGAAACCAAATGAGACAAAGAGGCCTTGAAAGCAGAGTTCAGAAATCATGATGAAAATAGCCGTGGACTGGATCCACTGTGTTAAGTCTTTGGATAACATCCCTGGACTGATACCAATCCACGTGGGAGTAAAAGGAAGGGGGTGAAATAAAAGAAATGGTAGAAGTATAGTGACATTTTAGAAGACATTGTATGAAAGGGTTTCCCTGTCAGAGAAAGAAAAGTGTGAATAGTTAAGAAGGAGGCATTTGGATAGCTCTCACACCGACAGTGATAGGGACAGATACGGAGGCGATGTGGTTGAGTTGAGTGGTCGAAGGTTTAGTCAAAGTTCAGTTCAGATCAGACTTTGCTTGCACAAGACAGCTTCCAGGTGTGGATGTATGTAACTGTGTGTAGAGTGATCATTTATATCTTTTTATCTCTGTATGACAAATGAATCTGGACTAAAGTTCTTTTTTTTCTTGAGCTTTGTACCGCATCTGTCTGTCCTTATCAGCAATGCAATGTTTGCTCAGTTGTCAAAGAGATGGATCAGTTGTCCTCATTTGTATATTGACTGAGAATTACATAAAGAGCAAAAATACAGTAGGAGCCATGAGGAAACTATGAGCGTATTTCAAAATAAGACAGCTGAAGCAGTGAAATAAGGGATAAAAACTGTAGGATAAAATGATGAATAAAAACAAAAGGGATGAAACAGAATGAAATATGAGTTTGAACATTAACTCTTGTGATCCCAAATTCTTTCGGCCCAAATTTGCTAGTATCACAGTTCTCTACATTTATTTGATTTGATTTTACTTGAATTTATTTTACTTTTATTCTTATCTCTACTTTCTATATTTAGCTAAGAGTTAAGCTAAGAGAGATTTTTTTTTATTCCTCTCATCCTTCCTATTCCTTTTATTCCTATACAAGTGTTTTGTAAGCTGC